GCTGAACAGCTTCCCCACTCTGCCTCTAAGGTGCTTTCCCTTTTGCTCTCGTCTGCCACACCTTGATATTCTTAATAAGTTTGGAAAAGGGACACTGCCCAAGGGCCTTAGAAGTGAGTGTAGGTCTATCTCTTTACTCACAGATTCCCTCCACCCCCCCCAAGTATGGATCCTGCTGTCCTCAATCTCGCCATTCAATGGGCCCTCCTGGCCCTCATGTTTCCCACCCCCCAGAACATCTATTGCCTTATGGCCTATTCACAGTCTCTCACTTCCCTGTGACAGGGGCAAGCTTTCATGCCCAGTATAAGCACCGGCCTGCCCCCTGTCTATGGGTCAGCCACTCACCTCTCTCTTCTGCCACGCCTTGATGTAATAATATTGATGTAATAATTAGGCGGGAAGCTGCCCATTATACACCCTGATATTGGGTGGGGGCTATCTGTAGCTCTGTTCCACCCCTACACCGCAGCCAAAGCCTCACAGATGGCATCTCAGGCAGCCCACAACCATCCCCTTTGCCCATTAGAGGTGATCCCTTTCCCTGGGACCTTCAGCTTCTCTTTAAGCCCTGACCCTGTCTCAGGCCACCTGGGATGTCAAGCTTCTCTGCTTTATATTGGCATCCCTCGTGGTGGGCCCTTGGCCCTTTTGACCCCTATTTGGGTCCTGGCCCCAGCATTGACCAGTCGGGTCCCTCGGGTTAGATCTAAGCCTCCTGCCTGCACTCAGGAATTGGGGTCCCTCATTCCTGGCTCAGGTGCTTCACAAAGCATGCCTGGCCCCGCAGGGCCATTCACACTAGCAGGCTCAGGCTCTTCAAGAAGCTTACCTGGCCTTCCTTGGATTAGATGTATGATATAACCCACCCAAAGGTGAAGGCTGGGGTTAAGGCGCCCTACCCACCTTTCACTGGGGTGGTAATTGGCCTGGTATTTCCTGAGGGCTCCCACGCCACTGGGAGTCCCACCAGACCACCCACTCCCAGCAGGGTGCAGTTTTAGGTCATGCCCAGGACCAGAGCCTCCTGCTCCTACCTACAAGATATTCCCATGGAGCAGCTCAGCCAGGCAATTTTTCTTGCCTGGCTCCCAGCAGCAAACTGCTCTTGTTTATATAGGTGACCTGAGTTCTAAAATGTTTGCCATAATCAAACACCTGCTGAGTGTTTGATCTAGCCCTTAAAGTGGCAGGTACCACTGGTGCCCTGCCACACTCCCCTACAGTCATGTCCATCTTTCACAAGTGTTAACCATGAAATATCTCAGTGGGGCATTCAATCCCAATGTTATCTCACATACCTTCCAGCCTCTCTGTCTTCCCTAATCTCTGCCTCTCCCAGGCTGCAAGCTCCTGGCCCTGGTTTACACCCTGCTTAGGCACTGGGCCCCTGTCCCTGTTCCTCAGGCATAGCTGAGACCTCAAATAGTCCCAACCCCAAACAATCACTAAACACTCAAACAGAAGAGAAACACTCTGGCTATAAGGCAAATTCCCAGTTCACAGGATGTCTACCAAAATCAACCCGTTCTGAGTTGCAGTCCCCTATCAACCCGCAACCCCATACTCATTGTTCTCAAGCTTGGCAGGAACTCTGTAAATAATCCAACAGCAGCCATCTCCCAGCAAAAGCCATCTCCCCTTCAACCTCCAGGGTGGGACTGACTGCCTTGGCTCAAACCCCTTTCTAGTCTGGTGACTTCTTTAAAGTGGCCACAGGTGCTTTTGAATTAAGTTTGCTAACTGGTCTACAAGATAGCTTACTACTGCTTTCTATGATTTTGTGCTAGCCACCACTATAGCAGCATATTGTCTCCTATTCAGGGTTCTACCCTATTGCAATTCTGTTAAACTGCCAGCACTGCAATAGGCTTCCTACTGCCCATGCTGGCTCTGCTCTGTTGTACTACTGCAGAACTAGTTGCTCTGCAGTGGGCACTCATAGCCCACACTCCCTCTGGTAGCCAGTTCTACTGCTGCTCCTCAAACAGAATCTTTCCCCATCTGGGGACCTCCCTGGGCAGTTTCTCCCTGAAAGTAACAGGAGCCCTAGGCTCCCTGTTACAATTGTTAATGACTACAAATGGTTGTGAACTCAGTCTTAAGCCTCACTTAAAAGACAGCACATCACCAGCCCTGTGTCCTATAGCACAACAGAAGGACATTGGTTCATTCCTGACCGAAAGAGGGAAGAAAGCCAAACTGAAATCAGAATAGTTGTCCATCAGTTATACTTCTTAAAATGGAAACTCAGTTCCATCTCCTTACTGCCCTTAATACTAATAGTTAGTACAGGAAAGTCAAACTATTAAAATATATGAATTAAAATGTTCGAAACCATCAAGACATGGAATACTCTTCACTACATTTTCATGCTATTTTTGATTGACAGTCTTCCCCATCCTGGTGCTTTGCACAGTGTCTGTCTACCTAATATGTTCATGTTATGGGCAGGGATAATATCTTTTTACCTGTCTGAAAACCCCTAGTATAGTGCAGGTACTAGTCAAATAGTAAATAAAAAGAACCATTCATGATTTTCACTGGGATTTTAAAATGTTTTGTTTAATTCTCAGTGTACTATTCTGGTTTGAACTGAAGAAACCTACAGCTGTGTTTTTTGTTTGTGTCACCATTTTAATACAACGTTGGGCCCAGATCCTGCAGATATAGCTATTAATTGATATTACTTCAAGGACTGATCCCCTTGGTAGCAATGGGACATCCACAGGACTACTCAAGTGAGCAATACTACTCACATTAGTAAGTGTTTATGGGATCAATAATGAATATTGCCTTATGTGATGTGATTTATAACAATGTTTTTTGCCTGGAGTGGGGAGTGAGGGGGAGGAAGGAAGGCCACCACTACATTTTTTTTCAAGCTGTGGAGCATATTTCCCACTCTATTCCATGTCACTTCTTTCCCTTGACGGCTTGCGCTCTTCTCAGTTCCTCTTATCCTCCCATTTCCTTCCGCTGCTACAAAGCTCTTCAAAGATCAAAGTCATCACTGACCATGAGTATGCACAATGTTCCTCCTCTTATGCTGGATGTGGGCCAGCTGGCATGTGTTAAAAACCATCATCAGAATCTGTTTAATTAATGCTCCTGATTCAGTGTTTTAATAACACACTGGAACGGATGTGATGCCGACTAGCTAATGCCCAGCAAAGGGACACTGCAGAAGTATAGCCATGACTTTGACATTAGCTGCTTTAATATTTTAAAATGTTAAGCTACTTTTTGGGCAATTCTTGAGTATGCCCTTGGAAACACAATGGAAGCCAACTTTTGATGGGTTTTCTCAATCTATTATTGTTTTATTATTAGCAATCACATAAGATATGCTATAAGTGAATGTGGCCCTTGTATGGCAGGATACATTCCCTTGCCCAAGTTGCTTACGGTTAAATTCTCCCCTGAATTACATTTGTACCTTCCTACTGGCTTTAATGGATAGGTCAGGAGAGAAACCATCTTTGGGTGCATCTACACAAGATGTTTGCTGCAGAGTAGACTGATTAGCTCAGGGATGGGCAATTATTTTGGGCAGAGGGCCGCTTACTGAGTTTTGACAAACCATTGAGGGCCGCATCACAGGCAGCTCAGGGCTGATTAATATTAATTTTCTAAATTTCTTAGGGGCCCTGTGGGCTGGATAGAATGGCCTGGCAGGCCGCCTCTGGCTCCTGAGCCCCATTTTGCCCACCCCTGGATTAGCTCCACAGTAAACATCTCAACGTCTACACATGCAGCCCAATTAGGCCTCAGGAAACTAAAACTCCACAGCAAGATAGTATTTGTAAATACAAATACTATCCTGCTGTGGAGTTTTTTACTCCACAGCACTGCACATGTAGATATTGATGCAGCTAGCTGAGGCATGAGTGTGCTGCTTGCTGGCTAGCCTCACACTAGAGCACCCTCATGCCCCAGCCAGCCTCTCTGCAGCACATTGAGTCAGGTTGGAGCAGCCCCAGGTTGGTAGGCTGACTTCCTAGGCTCCCTGCCAGCAGGGGCTGCTCCAATCTGGCTCAATGTGCTGCAGTCCCTAGGCATGCGTATAAACATGGCACCCGGGAGCAAGAAACTCCAGCACAGTAAGCAACAGAATTTATTGCTCCATGTTAATGTGCACATATAGACACACCCTATAAGTCCAAAACCCTATACAGACAGCAACATTTTACTGTTCAATTAGCTGGATAATAGTAAAAAAAGATCAAAGGTCAACTTCCAACCTAGTCCACTGGGCATGCATGAGGAAGGCACATCGAGTTCTGTAGGCAACAGAGAACACAGAGGAGTAATGTGGCTGGCATCACATTGAGGCTAATGACCAGCCTGAATGACCAGGTACCTGCTGACAGCCGGAACAATGGGGGCAGCTTCAGCAGAAGTCCACAGGCTTAGTCTTCTGGCTTTGGATCCATAGCAAAAGGTTTTAAGGGCTCTGCCACTATGAACACTATGATACAGTTGACTAAAAGCACAGTTCAAGACCTCACCACAAACTGAAATCATTTGCACCTATGAATACTAGTATTATGTTCATATTTCTGCTAGCAACTTTAGTGGGTGGGTATTTTACAGCATGGACAGGCACCCCCAGGCATGTCATAACTGAAAAATCAAGTCTTCTCGTCTTTTTTGACTGTGCATCCCTCAGACAACTGTCCCATGTTCTTTGTGCCTGACCTCTAGTGACTATATCCTCCATGCAGAAGTCCCAGAAGGTTTATATAGCTAGGTCTCCTGCAAAATGCTAGACATGTGATCCACACTGTTATCCAGATGCATACTACCCATCCCAGCCATTGTGACTCACCAGTCAACCACATCCAAACTGTGAAGAAGCAGAGTGATTTTCCCAAGAAACTCAGTTGCTGAGACAGGGATAAAATGTAATTTTCAGAGTGAAGCAATCCTTTTTTGTTTCCACAATTCTCTGCTTTGTGATCTTCACAATTTCCAGCTTCTGCAACAAAAGTTGCCTGGGTCCTAAGCACAAGAGTATTCTCTCCTAGTATCATCTTCATGTATCCACCAAGCTGCTCCAGCTGCTACACTGTATGAATTAGAGCAGGGATCCTGGTTTTCTCTGGATTAAAAAAAAAAAAAAAATCACAAATTCTCTGATAAAAACCCCCAAATCTGTGATTAAAATGAAAGGCTACTATCTCTCTCTCTCTATTTTGTTGAACATAATGTTTTTTTGATATATTTACAGTTTTAAAGCCATTTGGAAGCCTACCAGTGCCTCAATCACTATAATAAAATAAATTTTAAACACCTATATATTTTGGCATTTGATTTTGGGTTTTTCATCATGGAAAATCAGAGCTCCTGCTGAGCCCACTCTGTACACCCCAGGGAATTATGTGCAGAAAAAAAAAATCAAAATTATGCACAGAAACATTGAAAATTATATACAGGAAAATTCAAAATTATGCAAAATTGATTACTTTTATTTATTTATTTCACAAAAAACTAAATATAACACTTTGAACCTTCTTTAGAAATATATGCAGGTACTTTGTATGGTTGAGGGGTGGGTGTGAGGGGGATGTGTGAAGTGGATTTGTGAAGGTGTGGGGGGTGTTGCGTGTGTGGGGTTTATCAGAGGTTGTGAAGGGTGTGGGGGTGCGGCTTATGGGGATTTCTGGGGGATGGGCATGGGAGTATGTGGGGATTGCAGGGCCTATGTCTCCATAGATAGTTTCCCACTGGAGTGCTGGAAGCCCTGCATGGAAGCACAGAGCCAGCCGGCCTGGCCCAATAGCACGTGGACCAGGAGCTGTGCACCATTGGGCTGGGTGGGCTCCATGCCACCACATTGGGCTTCCAGCACTCCAGTGGGAAGCTGCACATGAAGGCAAGCAGGAGTCCACCTGGCCTGATGGTGCACTACTCCATGCCTCCATGTGCAGTTTTCCACCCAGCTCGATGGCACACAGCTACTGGTCCACATGTCATCAGCTCGGGCTGGCCTCCACGTGGGACTTCCCATGGACACCTCCCCGCTCTGTTAGCCCCCATCCATATACCTCCACCCTATTCCCACCTGCCCTGCTGGCTCTTCCTACAGCCCCCAACCTGCACCTCCCCCCCGGCCCTGGCAGTCACCCACACCCATACCTGCCCCACAGGGTCCCCCTTCCAACCCTGCCAGTGTCCCTCATCCCCAACCTGCAACCCCCTAGCCCCACCAGCCCTGCTGGAGGGGGCTCCCAGCTGGCACTCAACCCCCTGCAAGCCCCACTTACCTCAAAGACTCCAGGAGGGAAAGTGAGTCTGAGCCAAGCCCTAGCTGACTGAGACTCTCAGACCCTGCCCCTTCCCCTCTTCCTTCCCCTCAGGACAGGGCTTAGGGTTTGCTGCCCTTTGTGCGAGAAGCTCTTGCAGGCTGGAAATCTGCCAGCCTGCAGAGAACTTTTTGCAAATGTGGAAAATCTGTGGGTATCTCTGTTAAAATGAAAAATCTACTTTTTTCCCCTCTGTTTAAAGGGAAACTCCATGGGGTTTTCCATTTTTCTGTGGGAAATAGAAAACCAAGATCCCTGGAGATGATAGGTATATCTACATTGTATGGCACCATTTTAGTGAATGCAGTCCTGAAAGTGTACCCTTTTTCATTTACTCCTGCTGTGCACATGCCCCATTCCAAAAAATACCATGTAGCCGTTCTCAGGAGCACACCCAAACTCAAGAGTAGCACTGGGTGGGGCCTGGGTTCACACCAAAGAACAGCTGAATGCTTCTTTTCTTTGGAATGTAGTACTCACAAGGCACATTTATACAAGATGCTATGGCCAAGTAGCAACAAGCTACTGCACCATAGCTCATTGCTACCATGCAGCAGCATTGCTGGGCACTAACTGTGATGTGACGCAATGCTACTGCACAGTAGTAACAAACTACTGCACAGTTGCATCAGGAAAAAATCATGCAACTGTGCAGTAATGCACAATCATGCAGCAACGGTACTCCTCAGTAACGCCGGTTGCTGTGCAATCAGTAACAACTGCACGGTCCACCACTTACGTAGATGTGGCCACAGACTGGTGCCAAGTACATGGTGGTAGTTCCTGGCACAACGTAAATGTGCCTGATATGGTCTGGGAAGAAGATCAGAACCTGCTAGGTATCTGAAGGAAGGTGATCATCCCAATGAAGTAGCAAGAGACAAGTGGCAAGAGACCATTCAGACTTCATGATAGACCCAAACATGAAGTGAGAGAGAGAGTGCAAGCAGTAGATTAAAATGACTAAGTAACAGAAATGGCTAAGAAGGGAATGGGGAAATGAGACCAGGGATGGTCACTGGGGTTTCACTTCCTACAAACCATTCTACATCCAGAAGTTGGACCAAATTTCATTATCTCTGTTGCTTACCAATGGTTCTTCTTATATTGTTCCTTCTGCATTCCTCAGTCTATCACCTCCCTGGTATGGATTTAATGAAGAGCAAATGGCAAAATGTTCTTTAGCTTTGATACATGGCCACTCCGCCCAAGTGTCAGGGTCTGCAAAGCAAGGTGAGAAGTCTCACAACAAAAAGAATGACATAAAGAACCAAGGTTAAAGACCAGCCTTAAAGAACCAAGGTTTCACTGCAGGCTTCTAGTACTTCCTGTTGATGGTCCTATTAAAATCACTGATAGGCTTCTCTATTTGTGAGCCCAGTTTGGCATAAGACATAAGGACGAAGCAGGAGTAAAGTGAATTCTTCCAACATTCAGACAGGCTTGTCTTATATTCAGCATGGAGGAAGGAATGAGTTTAAGGTTATTTTATTTTACCTGGACTTGTTTGAATATCTCTGAAAGTAATAGGGCTAGTTTTCCCCCACAAAATATGCTTTCAAAATGATCATCCACTTATCTGACTTCTGGGTTTGCCGCCTTTGCATTCACAAATTTGGAACTAGTTTTCTCTGTGAAAGGGTATTTAATAAGTTTGTCTCCTGGGTCCTGAAAATAATTTAAAATCCTTTTGATGGCTTTTGTTCTCTTTAGCAATTAATGGCTTATCAGTAAGCTTTTTGGAGAACAATGTGTCTGATTCTCCTCTTATGTAATTTTCCACTTGTATAATTCCACTGACTCCAGCAGAGTTACTTACACTTTACAGGTTTATAAGAGAAGAATTGGAACCATAAAGTCCATCACTCTTTAATCAGATGCTTTGAATTCTTCCTCTTATTCAACGAGAACTTTGCTAGGAGTACTTCACAGAAATCTGTAATTCTCATTTCTGTGACATTAGAGAGTTGGTCATTATTCAGAATGTTTTCACCCCTTCATTTCAGAAACTGTATGGAGTGTAAGTCCAGTTTTCTGCCATACATACTTAAATGTGTTGTCCTCATAGACAGTGACAAGGACAGACAGAAGCTCTGTCTAGAGAGTTAGTTCTCCCTAAGAGATGAGGAAGGAGAAGCCTCAATATCATTTCATTCTGGGGAATGATTGGCATTTTTTTTCTACTTATTCATATCTGTTACCCTGTTGTCAAACATCCTTGCTGAAAGGATTTATTTTGCATATACCCTGCTTGTAGGCTGTCTAGCTTTTAGGTGTCTCCCAACCATGCAGTCGGTCCAATAAAAAATATCACCCACAAACTCTCGCTTGTCACATAAGTCATTAAACACACGCCTTTTCTACCCATAGAATAAAGCCTGCAGCCAGAAGTTCAGTGAGATGCTCTAATTCCATATATATATCTAATTTGGCCTGAATGTTCCCTAGGCATCTAGATTTGGCTTATTGTGCATGCTCAGAAGTGAACCATTATGGATGTTTATGCATCTAAGACTAGAAACAGACATTGCTGATCTGAAGTGGATCAGCTGTGGTGAGACATTTGCTTTACTGAGCAACATAAATGTTCCTCATGCCTGGGGATTTCCTGGGTCCTTTGCTGCCCCATGTTGGGTACTGCACTGAGGCCTGGATCAGCGCAGGTCCTCACACAGTGTGGAGCAGTGCAGGAGCTGGCACCCTGTGCCTCCATGCTGGCCTGTGCCTCCACCTGAAGCACAGACTAATATGGGTCCTGGCAAGGAAGAACTGGGATTCCTCAGCTCCCACACTGCCCTGTGGTGAGATCCCTCCTGATCCATGCCTCAGCATAAAGCAAGGATCAGTGTAGGTCCAATAAGGAGGTGTGGGGCAGTGTGGCAGCCCTGGGGATTCCTGGGACCCTGTGCCTCCCTGCTGAGATCTGGTATGGAGGCACAAGTTGTGGGGTGTGGGAACTGGGGAATCCCCAGCACCCTGTGCCTTGATGCCAGAACATATGATGACCCCTGACTCATGCCTCTGCCTAAAGCAATGTGGGTACCTGTTCTGAGGTATGAGGTGCTGGGGATTAACTGGCTCCCATGCCCCCTTCAAACTCTCCCACTGGGACTTGCGCTTACCCATGCTACTGCATGAGGAACAGGTCATCACAGGTCCCATGGAGGCCTGGAGCCATGTGGGGACTGGTGTGGAGATACAGGGTGCCTGGGATTCCTCAGGTCCCATGCCTCCATGTTACAGGATGATTGTAGATCTCCTCTGTTTAGAGTTCTCTTCCCCTCTGACTTTGTATGGGCATTGCTACCTATCCTTTGGAAAACTCTCCTGCCGTGTGCTGATGGGAGAAAAGCAAATAGATCACAAAAGAGGCCACTGATGCACACTCAATGACAGGTATCTCATATCAGGATTATTGCAGCAGGGCTCCACCTCCTCTTACACCCTGGCCATGCCCAACCATTCTGGATCTTCATTTTCTATTTTTTCTGGTGGCAGTCCAGATCCTTCACCCAGCCTTTATCTTCAGCAGGTTTGTTCCACCGCTAATTAATAATCATTTACCACTACGTAGGCTCAAAGACTGTTACCTCATCCTCAAACTTCCATGTAAATTCCTCCCTTTTTCTCTCTATTTCAGTTCTGTCATAAAGTACACGTTTTTAGGGAAGAGCTCGCAGTCTCCCTGCCCTGAGGGCACCCTCTTATCTCGCCTGCCATATCTTTGATGGAAAGATAACTCAGGAGGCTGCCCACGAGCCTTCGCTTAGCCCTGGTTCACTGAACCTTACTCAAGCTCTCTGATCTGTAGGCCCTTTACCAGGCCTCTCTTCAGTATGGTGCTGCATGAGACACCTCAGGCCTTATAGGTCAATTGTGTGGCTCCAACCACCCCTTTACCATGCCTCTTGCCTCGCATGTGTTACATTGCTGTTATGCTCTGTTGGGGCCTTGGCCTACTCAGACTCTGCCCCTTTGATATAGCTAGGCCTTCTAGCCAAGACCTACTGTGGTGAGCCTGGCTTTGAGGCACTAGCCCACAAACTCCTTTTATTACTGGGTCCCTGGCCCTTGCAGCTCACACCCCTCTGGTGCTGGGTTCTCCAGCCCCTTGCAGCTTGTGCCCCTCTGGCACTGGGCTCTCTGTAGCCCCTGAGACTGCACCCCTCTGGTGCTAGGGTTCTACACAGTCATGTGCCCCCAGTGAGGCATCCTCCTCCCCTATTAGCTTCTTCCTGGTCCACTGATGCAAACAGTAACACAAACCTGAGCCCCTGGGCTACAACATAACATTAATAATAAAGGGAGCACTCTGCTCCTTTAAGTGGGCCAACTCCCCCACACACTTTAGAATACCAGCCCCTTTTATCTCTGGGCACCTTGTGAGCCCCTAGAGTCTTACTGTGTTTGGAGATAGCAAAGCAGGCAACCAGATGCATGGGTCCACTCTCTTGTACAGGCACTCCTTCTCCTGACAGTTGCCAAAGAGAGAGTGACCCACAACCAGCCTCAGCCCTGAGCTTATATGTGCCATGGGCTCTGACTCCTTCCAGTCAGCTGACTGCCTGCAGGTGCGGGCTAATTAACTCATTAGCTTGTTACTCAGGCAACCTGCAGCTGTGGGGCTCTGTGTAGCCTCCCAGGCTCCTTTGCTAAGCTGTTTCTGCTCTTGAAGGCGGAGGCACCCCTAGATGCCCAGCAACACTGACTTTTCTCTAGCTTTTTCTGAGCAATGTTTCGTACCCATTCTAACCTCTCTTGAAACTCACGTACCTGCTTGGGCCTATAATCTCTCCCCAGACTCTCCTCTAACCACCTCTCACAGACTTCATCTAATAAGCCTCATGGCGGTGTCTATAAACTAATTCAAATGGTGTACACCCCATAGAAGCCTCAGGTACCTCCCTAATAGCAAACAATAATGGAGGTATCAGCAGTTCCCACCTTTGCGGTCCCCTTGAATACACACTTGAAGCATCCCCTTTAAAGTGCAGTTGAAACTTTCAACCAATCTCTCTGTTTGCAGATGGTAGATGGATGTTCTAAGTTCTTGGATTTTGAGTTTAGCACAAACCCCCCTAGATATAAAATTCCTCCCTTGATCCATAAGGATCTCCTGTGGTATCCCTACCCTAGATATCCATTTTATAAGTTTCTCCGCTATTTTTTGGAGCAGAAATGGACCTCAAAGGAATAGCTTCTGGAAATCTCATGGCATAGTCTACCAGCACTTGGACAAATTGATGATATCACACACTACTCTTGGGGAAAGGTCCCGCAATTTCCATGGCAATATGGTCAAAGGGTCTTTCTACTAATGACAATGGAAAAAGGGACACCAGGAGAGGGCATATATCAGAAATTCTCTGACAGTCTAATCAATCACAGCAATATGTCTTCACCTGTTTACAGAGGCCAGACTAAAATACTCACTGCTTGCGTTGTGCCTCTGTTTTGTCATGCTCCAGGTGACCTCCCATAGGGAGAGTGTATGCCACCCACAAGAGAGTCTGTCAATATTTCCATGGTACTAAAATTTGTAATACCTCCTCCTCCTCCACTTTCCCATGTTTGACCCTATATAATTTGCCATTTTTTACCTCAAATCTGGGAAAAGCTTCAGCTAGTCCAGGATTCATAAACTCCCCTTCTTGCTTAGCTAACCCTTCCTTAAAGATGGTTTGGAATATCAGTTCTTGTTCCTGTTCTCTGAACTGACCATCCCTTATAATCTCCTCCAGATCCAATGTTGTATCCAGGGCCATGGGTTGTGGAATGCTCTCTGCCTCCACCCCCATAAAACCCTCAGTCTGCAAGTCCCCTGCCCCATCTCTTTTTGAGTCTCTCCATTGTTTGACCCACCACCTCTTGGAGGTAGGGCCAATCTACTCCCAACAGCATTGGACATGGTAAGGTTTCTGCTAGCCCTAATACTATGTCTTCTGTTCTTCCCATAACACAGAAGCGAGCAATTATTTTGGCTGGAGGACCACTTAATGAGTTTTGGTAAGCTGTTGAGGGTTGCAAGGGTAGCTCCACCCCTTGACATGTGCCCCGCCCCCTGATTGCCATCTTGGGACTGGCAGTCCTGCACCCTAACCCATGGCCTTTGCCACCAGAAGTCCCTCCCCTTGCCCCAGAAGTACTCTGTTTGGGAAGAGGGATTGCCATCTTGGAACTGGGGAAAAAACCAAACTATATACTAAAAATCAACCATCCATAATAACATATTTTAATTTTATATAAAAACAATTTTGTCCTTATTTGTGTGTTTGCATTGTGTATATAGATATGATTGCATAATAGCTCAAAATGAAGTCTTACTCTTCTATATTGGGGGGCTGGGGGTATGGGTATGAGGTTGGTGGGGGGCTGTGGAGGTGTGTGTGGATTTGTGTGTGTATGGGGTGTGGGGATGTCTGTGGATGTGGGGAGGTGGGTATGGGGATTTGTGGGGATATTTGGGTGTTTGTGTCTGTGTGGGTGGGTGGGTATAGGGCTTGTGGGGTGTGTGGAGGTAAGGGTGCCTGGGGGTGTGTGTGGGGTGTCTGTGTGGGCGTGTGTGGATACATGGACTTAGTCACAGGCAATGACTTGGTGAGAGATCTTTGGGTGCTTGATTTGGGGGCCCAGTGTGTGGCTGGTGACATTAATAAGAGTGGCTACAAGGGGGCCAGGCATGGCTGTAGCCACCTGAACCTAGGAAGGTTGTAAGACCCAGAAGGGGCCAGGCACAGTTACGGCCACCTGAGCCCCACTGGGGAGGGAAGCCCTATAGCCCTGGTAAGGGGGTGGCCCCAGGGAGGGGGCAAAGATCTGGAGTCCCAGTGAGGGGGAAACCAGAGGGCTGGGAGCCCAGTATGTCTGAGTGTATAGAGTTGCCCTGGGAGGGGCTTGGGCCAGCTTAGATTCATAGATTGTAGAGTTGGAAGGGATCATCATGTCTGACCCCGTGCCCCTGGCAGGAAAGAGGGCCGAGGTCAGATGACCCCAGCCAGGTGACTATCAAGCCTCCTCTTGAAGACCTCCAAGTTAGGTGATAGTACTACCTCCCTTGGAAGCCCATTCCAAATTCTGGCCACCCTTACCGTAAAAAATGTCTTCCTAATGTCTAACCTAAATCTACCCTCCGCTGGTTTGCACCCATTATTCCTAGTTACTTCCTGGGGTGCTCTGGTAAATAGCACATCATCAATTCCCTGTTGTCCTCCCTTGATAAACTTATAGGCAGTTACAAAGTTTCCCCTCAGCTGTCTCTTGTGAAGGCTGAAGAGATACAGCTCTATCCACCTCCCCTCATAGGGTCTTTCACGGAGGCCACTAATCATGCGAGTGGCCCTCCTCTGAACCCTCTCCAGATTCTCCGTGTCCCTCTTGAAGCACGGCGTCCAAAACTGGACACGGTACTCCAACTGCGGCCTGACCAATGCCACATAGAGGGGGAGCATCACCTCCCTTTATCTGTTGGTCATGCACCTGCTAATACATGACAAGGTGCCATTGGCTTTGTTGATGGCCTCATTACACTGCCGGCTCATGTTCATCTTGGAGTCAACTATAACTCCAAGATCTCTCTCAGCCTCTGAGCTGCTGAGGAGGTCATCCTCAACCTATAGGTGTGCTGGGGATTCCTCCTTCCTAAGTGGAGTACCTTCATAGTAGCTAGGGTCAGGAGGGACCTGAACAGATCCCCTGAAACTTACATTTATCTTTGTTAAATTGCATCCTATTTCGTTCCGCCCATTGATCCAACATGTCCAGGTCAGCCTGTATTTGCTCCCTGCCCTCTGGTGTATTAACTTTGCCTCATAACTTGGTACCATCTGCGAACTTGAAGAGGGTGCTGTCCACACCCTTGTCCAAATCACTGATGAAGATATTAAATAACACCGGTCCAAGGAACAAACCTTGCGGGACCCCACTGCCCACCTCCTTCCAGACCGAGAACGACCTGTCCACCACCACTCTCTGGGTGCAGTGTCTAAGCCAGTTGGCCACCCACCTCACTGTGTAGCCATCCACTCCAAAGCCTGCTAGCTTTCCTATGAGAATAGGATGTGAAACTGTGTGGAAGGCCTTCCTAAAATCCAGGTAGATGACATCAACCTCAGCTCCTGTGTCAAGGCAATGTGTGACCTGTTCATAAATGGCTGTAAGGTTTGTCATGCAGGATCTACCTGTGGCGAACCCATGCTGGTTTCCTTTCAGCATCATTTCCCCTGCTGGGCCTTCACAAATGCTCTCTTTGATGATTTTTTTCCCAGGGACAGAGGTAAGACTGACTGGCCTAAAGTTACCCAGCTCATCCCTTCTCCCCTTCTTAAAAATGGGCATCACATTGGCCCTTTTCCAGTCCTCAGGGATCTGGCTGGAGCACCAGGAGTGCTCAAACAGCCGTGCCAGTGGCTCAGTTATGACATTGGCCAATTCCTTCAGCACCTGTGGATGGAGGTCATCTGGGCCAGCTGATTTGTACCAATCCAGCCCTTCCAAGTGCTCCTTAATTAAGTCAGCACTAACCTTTGGTGGTCTGGTGCCTTTTGGACATTTGTCTATGTTCAAGGTGGGGGAATTGTCTTGGTCAGTACTTAGGAATATTGAAGCAAAGAACTCATTGAAGAGCTCTGCCTTTTTCCCTGGGTCAACCACCAACTGTCCTGATTTGTCCTGCAGGGGCCCTATATTACTCTGCGCCTTCCTTTTGCTCGCTATGTATCTGTAGAAGGACTTTTTATTGTCCTTAATTGTTGTAGCCAGCCTAAGCTCCAGCCCTGCCTTGGCCTGCCTAACTGATTCCCTGCAATAGCGTGCCAGGGAGATGTATGTCTCCTTGGTGGCTGCCCCCTGCTTCCACTGCCTATAAATCTTGTTCTTTGCCCCCAGTCTTTCCTGGAGTTCCCTGTTCAGCCAAAGGGGCTTTTTAATCCCCTTACCCCCTTTCCTGTGTAAGGGGATAGACTCCCCTTTTGTGCCCCAAGGATCACTCCCTTGAGAAACCTCCAACCCTCCTGAACCCCCATTTGCTCGATGCTCTTGAGTTCCATTACCTCACTAACTAGCCTTCTAAGTTTACTAAAGTTGGCCCTTCTGAAGTCTAACACTTTAGCCTCACTGGATATTTTTCTCACCCTACACTGGATAGTGAACTCTATCAAGTGATGGGCACTATCTCCCAGGTTACTGTGTACTCACAGGTTCCCCACAAGATCATCCCCTGTTGCTAAGTCCAGGTCTAGCAAGGCGCTACCCCTGGTGGGACTGGACACCACCTGGGTTAGGTGGAGGTCCTGCACACAGTGTAAGAACCTCCATGAGCAGCTTGTTTTGGCTATCTATTCCTTCCAGCAGATGTCCGGGCAATTTAGATCCCCCATGACCCCTGCCTCCCTTGCTTGTATGGCACCTGAGAGCTGCCTGGAGAATACTTTGTCTAGCTCATCATCCTGGTGAGGAGGTCTATAGTAGACCCCCACTACCAAGCTTGGCACTGGTCAGGTAAAAGAGACCCTATGAGAGGGGGTGGAGTGTGAGAGGAGGGCGGTATGAATGTGCGTGTGTCTGAGGCCTGACAACGAGGGCTAAACTTGGTCTGGCTGTAGGCCAGGAGCGTTGTCACCTGGATGCCATCTGCAAGGCTTGGGCTGCGGTATAGGGGAGGAACAAAGCCACAGATAGTGCTTCTTGGCATCAGGGCAAGAATGGGCAGCCTCCCGCCTAATTAACATCCTAATTAGATATCAGCAAGGCATGGCAGGAGAGACAGGTGGGCAGCATGCCCAGAGGCAGGTGGGGAAAACTAGCACTGTGGCTGGTTAGGGAGCCCACTCTGCCACACATACCTATAGGCTGGGTAATACCCTTCTAAACAACACAGTGGCTGAAAGGGATCTTGGAGTCATTGTTGATTTCAGGATGGACATGAGTGGCCAATGCGGGGAGATCGTCAGTAAGGCTAACTGCACCTTGTTGTACATCTACCGAGGCATCACAAGCAGGTCCAGGAAGGTGATCCTTCCCTGCTATGCAGTGCTGGTCAGGTTGCAGTTGGAGTACTGCATTCAGTTCTGGGTGCCGCACTTCAAGAGGGATGTGGCTAATCTTGAGAGGGTCCAGAGGAGGGCCACTCACATGGTCTGGGGGCAGCTGAGATGTGAGCAGTGCTCGGTCCTCAGGCCCGTACTTTTTAACATCTTCATCAGCGACTTGGACGAGGGGGTGGAAAGCACGCTGTCTAAGTTTGCTGATGACACTAAGATGTGGGGTGAGGTGGACACACCTGAAGGGAGAGAGAGGCTGCAACTAGATTTAGACAGACTACAAAAGTGGGCAGATGAGAATAGAATGGGGTTCAACGTAGAAAAATGCAGGGTGCTGCACCTTGGGAGAAGGAATCCACAGCATACATACAGGATGGGGAGTTCCCTTCTTGAAAGCACAGAGGTGGAAAGGGGTCTTGGAGTCATTATTGACTCCAAGATGAACACGAACCACCAATGCCAGACCGCAGCCAGCAAGGCCAGCCATACCTTTGGATGCGTGACAAGGTACATCTCAAGCCAGTCCAGAGAGGTGATACTCCCCCTCTCTGTGACTTTGGCCAGGCCGCAGTGGGAGTACTGCGTCCAGTACTGGGCGCCGCACTTCAAAAAGGATGTGGCCAGCCTGGAGATGGTTCAGAGGAGGGCCACCCACTTGGTGAGAGGGCAGCAGGACAGGCACTACAAGGAGAGGCTGAAGGACCTGAACCTGTTCAGCCGCAGCAAGAGGAGGCTGAGGGGGGACCTGGTGGCTGCCTACAAGCTCCTCAGGGGGGAAAAAACAGCAAATAGGCAGAGCTCTTTTCTCCCCAGCACCACCTGGGGTGACGAGGAACAATGGTCATAAGCTGAGGGAGATTAGGTTTAGGTTGGAGATCAGAAGGCAATATTTTACAGTTAGGGTGGCCAAAATCTGGAACCAACTTCCCAGGGAGGTGGTCCTTGCCCCTACCTTGGGCATATTCAAGAGGAGGTTGGATGATCACCTGTCTGGGGTCTTGTGAACCCAGCATTCATTGCTGCCTGTGGCAGGGGGTCAGGCTAGATGATCTGTTCTGGTCCCTCCTGACCCTAGCTACTATGAAACTATGGATAGATATCTGGCTGTGGTATTATGATCCCAGCACTCATTCCTGCCCAGGGCAGGGGGTCAGACTTGATGATCTGTTCAGATCCCTTGCGACCCTAGAAACTATGAAACTACGTGTGTAGTGGGGTGCGTGCACATAGCAGTGAGTGGAGATCCCCCCCAGAGGCACATGGGTGTGGGGAGGGGTGTGGGGCACTCCCTGCTACAGCCACCTGGAGCTCATGCTGGGCTGCCCTGCATCTGCTTTGCACTGCCACCGCTGCCCCGTGGTGCAGCTTGGAGGTAGCAGTGACAGCAGCGGGCCAGCCTGGAGTGGGGTCTGGGTAGCTGTAGCAGGAAGCACCAGGCAGCAACAAGGGGGAGAGACCACTTTTACTCCGTGCTGAGCAAGTTTCTGCCCAGCTGACGCTACTGCTGCTGCTGTTTAGCATAAGCAGGCAAGTCTGGGGCAGGTGGAGGGTGCGCCAGATTAAGGCTGTGGCATGGGTCCCCACCTGTACCTCAGGGCTGGGGTCAGCAGTGGCAGGAGATACAAGAAGCTGCCACCACCTGGTCTGTCTAGAAAGGCAGTCCAGATGTGGAACTGCCCCAGCCCTGCTGCATGGCCAAGGTGTGGCAGGACATGCCACCACCTGACAGCGCATGGACCAGGAGGGACCAAGGGACCCGCTGTGGGCCAGACAAAGCCCCTCTGTGGGCCAAGTCTGGCCCACAGGCTGTATTTTGCCCACCCCTGCCATAATAGTTAGTCTCAGCTGCCATCTGCAATAAGTATACAAGGCTCTGTGAATACAGACCATATTCACTGGTGGTTCTTCATCCCCAGCCTGGGAAGAAATCAGGTCAGCTCTGATCATAGTCTGTGTACATCTGGTATCTACCACCATGGGAACTATAAGGTCCCTGATCGTTACATCTACTATTGGTTTGGCTCATCACCAAGGACCTTTATGTCTGCCAAAACTACAGTCCATTTGGTCTTCGTGGGGTAAATCCCCTGACTGATCCCCTTTTGGGGACAGAATCTCATGATGTGGGCCTGATTTCCACATCCATAACAGATTATTTCCCTGAGTTCCCAGCTCTTAGATTCTCTAACTGGTCCTATAGTGTTTTCTAATTTTTGCCAATGGTTTCTAGAATTCCCCCTGTCCAGTTGGTGTAACACTTCTGCCTTTCCCTGGTTTATCATGCTCTGTAGCTGTAAAAACCTCAGCTAAATGTAGGGCCTCCTCCACTGGTGGTGTCCTCTGACCTATTTTTGGGTATCTCCACACAAGTAAGTGTGGAACTGTTGTAGTGCAAATATATTCAGGACCTCAGCCACAGACTTGCCCTCCAGCTATATTGATTTTTCCAGCAAATCTTTAAATGTTTGTACTAACAACTGAGGTCTCAGTTCTTCCAACTTTTTCTTTGCTCAAAAGCATTGTCTATAATATTTTGGAGAGATTTCTAAGCTGTATAGAATTGCTCATTTTACTGTTTTGTAATCTCTTCCAACTGCTTTAGACAAGGCCCTGTATGCCACTTTAGCTGGTCCTACAAATAAGGGCCTAGCTGACTGGCCCACCCAGATGGATCCCATCCCGCAATTATTGCAGTCCTCTCGAACGATTCGAGGAATGTCTCCATGTCATCCTCTGATGTCTTTCTAGGAAGCCTTAAGCCATCTGGTACTTAAGCCATGGCTGTTTGTTGATCCTCCAGCTTCTCACTTAACTCATGTTGACGTGAAAGAATCATAATTTGTGCCTCAGCTTCTTGGGCCCTTACTTTTATCAGTTCCTTCATCTTGGCCTGCTGGTTTTGCAAGATCCTCAAAGTGATACCATGTGCTTGTTACTAATCCTGAGGCTTGCCTGTGTCTGCCCCAGCTAGTTCCATTGTCCATTTTTTCTTCTGTTTCTAAGCAGCCAGGTTATCCCTTCCCAGGTTCAACCTTCCTGGCCAATACAATTTTTGTTACAGGATGATTGTAGATCTCCTCTCTGTAGGGTTCTCTTCCCCTCTGACTTTGTATGAGCGTTGCTACTTTTCCTTTGGAAACTCACCTGACACACCTTGATAAAACAAATAGATCACAGAAAGAGGTCACTGATACACATACAATGACAAGTATCAAATCTCAGGATTATTTTTGCAGGGCTCCACCTCCCCTTATACCCTGGCCATGCCCAACCATTCTGGATCTTCATTTACTATTTTTTTCTAGTGGGAATCCAGGTCCTTCACCCAGCTTTTATCTTCAGTAGGTTTGTTCAGCCATTAATCAATCATCATTTACCACTACATAGGTTCAAAGACTGTTACCTTGTCCTCAAACTTTCATGTAAATTCCTTCCTTTCTCTCTTTTTCAGTCCTGTCGTAAAGTGTGCCTTTTTAGGGAAGAGCTCACAATCTCCCCATCCCCATTAACTTTTTCCCAACAGTCAATATTTTTCTAGTGGTCTCCAGTATTCCTCAGATGATCGCACTCTCACTAAATCTGCTCCAAGCCCAGCAGTGAAAGTTTGTGTCTGACTCGGTGCCTCTGCACAGACTGCAGCAACGTTAGCCAGTTGTTCCTTTTTCCCCGTCCCGGGCAGTCGAACCTTTCTGTTGGTCATTTTTAGGCTTTTCCGGCTCCTACCAGCTTCTTGTTAGCCTCCTTTTTTCCTTTGCAGATGTCGGGAATTACAAACCAGGGAGGTCTGATGACATCATCTCTCCTCGCTGCACTCCGGGAACGCCTACCAGGTAAGTACTTCATATTCTCTTCATAACAGGGACCAATGTCAGTCTCCCTGTCACACTCCACACTGAGACATGCCTCCCCTATGGCACATCTCTAAGCAGAAAAAGGCAGGCAGGTACTCCAGGAGCTTGAGATGCCCAATTTTACCCAGGCCCCTCAAGCTGCCATAGCATCTCCCTGGGGTGGCAGGAAAGTGCAGGGAGCTCTGGGCCAAAACACACATTGGCCAGAACAAAGTGGCACATCAGCAGTACAACAAAAGGTAGGGGCAAGTTTGCTGAATTTTTTTGCCACCATAAAAATTGTTACAGAAGCACAAATGTGACATCAAGCAAAGTCTGTTTCTACCCTAATGCCACGTCCAGATGAATGTGGATGTTTGGTTCCCTGGGGACAAGTGGCAGCAGCACAAGGTGCCGACCCCAGCAGCCTTACCTGGGGTCCTAGGGGCTAGGGAAACCGCAGCCATGGGATTTCCTGGAGTCAAAAAACACCTCTGCACTGCAAGGTAGCAGTTCGGGGAACACCTGAATGTGTGGCACTGCAGACAAGTCTGTGGTACCACGCAGCACACAACCATACTCATCTGAACGCGGCCTAAATGTCCAACTCTGCTTATTGTTTATAGTAATCTAAATCTATCCAGGAAGTGCATAAATTCTATGCAAGTCCACAGATCTTTGCTAAAAACAAAAACCTGAATGAGCAACTTTTTGATGCTGAGGTTTGCGGTGGTTGTGCTACTCTTCTTTTGCCCAACAGCGTAAGCGATTAAGGCGCCTTCTCAAAATATCACAGACCTACATTCTAACTTTTCCATGAACCCTGAGGGGATCTAAGCCCAAATTTCCCATTCCCAGACAGTGCTTAAATCACTTGGCACTTCTGAGGATATCCTTCACCTGTTCTGTTGGAGCTGGGCCGCTGGGTAGCCAAAAGTGAAAGATTCATGGGGTCAAAAGGACAGCAAGCAAGAGGGAGCCTTGCTCCCAGTGAAGTGGCTGCTGCTGTGCCTTGCAAGGAAGGTGACTCTAGAATCAGGCCCCTACTTCCAGTGCTGCTTATGCATGTCATAGTCAAAATTCACTGGATATTGAATAGGTCTGTGTAAAGGAGATAGTGTTCACTTCAGATTCGGATTCAGCTGATTTGGGGGACAGTGATTTGATTTGAATCACTGTCCTGAATCGATTTGGCCAAATCTGATTTGGAGATTTGGCTGCTGCCAAATCAGCCGAATCTCTAAATCACACAGGCCCTGTCCCCCGCCTGCTTTCCCAGCCATGGCAGGGGTTGCCCAGCCTGCCCCAGCTCCCGGCTCTTTGAAAAAAAAACAAAACCCACTCACCAGATGCTGCCCAGAAGGGAGCGATCTCTGTTACCCCCGACTGCCCCATGCTGCATGGGGGGATCTGCCATGGGTCCCCTGACCCCCATGCACTCTTCCAACCCCTCCCCCCCC